GACCCTACCAGCTTCACATCAAACCACAAAAATCGTGGATGTGAGGAAAACACTGACTCCAGGGCATGACACAGGATTAACATTGAGCCAGGGATCTGGGAATGTGTCATTCAAGGGAATTCTATCCCATGCAATCAATTCTCATGACCATGAGACTGGTCCAAAATGTCCAAAGGTCAATAACAACCCCATCGCAAGATAGAACAAGGGAGTGCCCAGGACAGAAACATCCCACAGATATCCTCTGTGACCTATTACACAGAAGGAAGAATTGAAGGAGGAAGATGGACAACTACAAACCTGTGTGAGGACTTAAGTTGATTGGTTTACTTGATATCCAAAACCAGCCTGCAGGGTACCTACATCCGCATGAGGGCAGGATGAGGGAACCCAATCGAAGGGGTGAACTACGCTTAGACATATCACTCTGTGGTATTTGTCACTCAATCCTAAGGATTTTACGCCTTCTACACCAGCAGAACACCACTGCCCTACTCTGAACCGAATGGTCATAGCCATCTATGTGGAACCCATCCAGAAGGATGCCTCCATAATCAACCACTCCCATGGCTTGAAAATAACAAGTGGTAAGAAATCCCATACTCCACTGGAAGAAGGGGGGAGCATTGGAGAGTCTGGAGGACGAATGGCTATACCCGAGACTGTGCAATGGGTGATCACAAACACCTATTTTGAAAAGCAGAACATACCAATTTATTTAATCCAGGCATGGCAGGGATGGGCAGCTATCACCTTCTACTTTATCCATGCCATCCATGGATGGTACAGTCCGGGATAGGCCTGTTTATGAAGCAAATATCATGAGGTTATTGGCCATCCAGTAATCTTGTGCAATACCCCATCTCGAAGGTGAGCATGCAAATCAACATGGTGTACAGTGCAGATTTGCTTGTGTATGTAAAGAATACCTGGTCAGGCACTACCCACCACAGAGTGGGATCTAAGTGATAAATTTCGAGGCAACAGCCCCTGAAAAAAAGAAAGTATTAATAAAGACTTACCTAGTGTCACAGATGTACCGAAGTCTGAAGTATAGTTACAGGTAGTAGATAATACCCCAAGGAAGCAGAAACCATGCCAGATTGTAAGTAATGGGAGATGAACTTCTGAGGGGTGGTTCACATACCAAAATCAAAATCCCCTCCAAAGGCTGATGAAGATAACAAGCAAGGGAAAAGGTGAGGTGTGAGATTTGATGGGAGGTAACATGGAACAAAGCATATTGAGAAGGGGACAAGGAGGAATAAGCCAACTGGATTAAACGACAAACCCAATTGGTAGGGGTAAAGGGAGAAAGATCCTGGAAGGAAAAAGGTTGCCATGAGATAAAGAGATGGGAATGGGAACCCCTGAAGGAAGCCGTGCGAGCAATATAACAACAAAGGACATGCACCGGGCATAGAAGTCTATCTGAATAAGGACAAGTGTAGAGATGAGAAATAGCGGGAAGGGAAATGGACAAAAAAGGAGGAGTTATCGCCCTGTGCCGCTGAGATCTTAAGAAGGAAGGAACGATCCGGATAAAGGAGAAGATCGGTTTGGTGGTACATTGTGTGAGTGATGTCGATAGAAAACAGACCCAGCTGACTCCTCTCCATAGGCCAAGAGGAGAAGGAAATAGGCACACAGGAAATAAGATGAAGTGTAAGAAAGGGTATGATGAATCCCTCTGACAAAACTCGGTGAACCTAAACATCAGATATGAAAGAGCTCCATGATGAACAAAGATTGTCAGACGAGCTACCACTGTACCAGAACCCACCAGGTAGTCACTGGAACCATTGTTGGTGTACCAGTTATCATCGTGAAAAAATGACAAACAGTGGCACAGCGGGGATGAAGAAGAGGCAAGGGCTGAGAAGAGGAGGGTCAGGAGACAGGAAACGGTGCCATGTTAGGCTCTGACCGGGATAAACGGGCCACCAGATGAGAGAGGATGAACTGTTGTTGGACCGAAGCCACCCTCAACTCCATAGACTCCAGAATCATGTCAAACACGAAACATACCAAAAATGGGGTCCATACAAAGGTCCCATAGATAAGGAGTCAGGAGACAGGTCCATGACAATATGGCATAACAACCAAAAAGATCCCAACAAGAAATAAACCACGTCTGCAGAGCCAGACCCAAAGATGACATGTGGAAGTGAGGAGGGAAAGGACATCCCCAGAAAACCCCTCAGGGTTCGAGTGAAAAGCCTTAGACAGTAGATGGATAGAGGAGAGGTACTGCAAAAGAGTTGTCAGAGTAAGACAAAAGTGGGAATACTGGGCATGGGAAAGATTAATTGGAGATTCAGGTCTCACCCCCCAAACAGGCAAAACTGAACCAAACAATTGTTGGTCCAGATATGGACAGTCTGCCCTCTGATAAACGACGGCGGACTGATCCAAAGCCCACAGGGGACAAGGCATATGAATGCTGAGATGCAAAGTGTGAACCCAAATATCAGGGGAAGGTGGAAAACTAAATAAGGTGGTTGGGAGGCAGAATCGTGCAACAGGGAAGGATGTGGGTCATAAGAAATAGGAGCAATAGACAAAACATCACATATCTGAGAAATAAAATCTGAGAAAGCTGATGAGGGCTGAACAGAATCCTCAGGTAGGGCTTAGGAAGGCATGGCAAACTTCGGGGAGAAATTATCAAAACCCTTGTCGGCCCGCCCATCCTCGAAAGGCTCAGAAGGAAGAGGAGCAACATCAGAAGTCAAAGGTTGCCCCATATAATGCTCAATCTCCCTGCAAATAAAGGCCAATAAATACCCCAATGGGTCACCCACACCTGTGGCCAGAAGTATGGCATCAGATGAATGAGACGTATAAGAAGTGGTAAGGTTAACTTCAGAATTCATGCTTGATAATCAACAAATAAGTGAGAAATTTGCATGGGTAAATCAAACGCTTTAAAAAACAAAGTGAAAAAACTCCAGAAATAAAGTAAATTAAATTAAACCACTTCAAGAAGTAATCAACAAAAAAAAGACGTCTGAACTCAAGCACTGCCAAATGAGAAGTGATGGTTTGGTAGCAACGCATGGAGGGAGTCACATGCATCATGTGATAGTGGTGCTCCCCTATTGGTGGAGAAATGACACATGATGATTTGTATGAGAGACATGTTGGAATCTTTGATTCCAATAGGAGTGTGCAAAAGGTTTGTGGTATGCATTATAAAAAAAGTTTGCATATAGAGGGCTGCACAAAACAGGAAAAGCTAATCTTGTGAGCGGAGGGAACTAACATATCAGAAACAGCAACTGTCATTCTATGTCACTTACTAGTAACATTTATAATCTACTTATCCTCTCTATAAATGTACCTAAATATACTTACAGGGTTATTAGTGAGGCACTGAAATACATAAATCAATAGTCATTAACATTTCAATACAATACACTAGTAATCAAAATTTTAATACAATATTCCTACTTCTCTGTTTCTTGTTTTAACACTCAATTTTAAGAATAGATTTTTAAAAGTCAGGCTAATACATGGTCAGAACAGTTACAAACTGTAAAAGCCACTCACCTTAGAAGTATGGTAAGGTCTATATCATGGCTCAGCCTGTCCAAAGCACTGGTTCCTTCCACCCTGATACCATTCACTTTATCCCTGAGAGCTTGGTTAGCAGCAATAGCTGGATGCCGCTCCTTGAGGATGTCAATAATGTTTGGCTGACGAATAAAGGCCACAACTTTGTCATTATAAGCAGTAGGCACTTGAGACACAACGTGTGGAACTGTACACGACGTAGTTATAGGAGGTCGAGGAGGAGGGATCGGTCCAGAGACAGTACCCTAAGAAAAATGTAAAAGTCTCATCTTCAATAACACTTAGTGCTCTAGAACTAGTTCATAACCTAGTCAACATATACTTTAAACTTTAACTCTGGTTTCAAAACTAATTCTAAAACCTTTTTTTGTCTTCTAATTAAAAGCTTAACCCATATAGCACTTTTCCATGTCAAAAATGTTATGGACAGAAAAAACTTTACTTATTGAGTAAACCTTGGTTAACATTGGCATAAATTTAAAAGGACAAACAAAAGAGTTTATCACAAGTACCTCTGACACCAGCTGTGCCTTTAAACAATGAAATGTTTAATTGATGCAATTTTAAATAGGGTTTACAGATTTATAAATAAAGGACAGATTGTCCTTGGATTTAGGAATATCACTAAACTCCCTTTAACTAAAATCAGCAATAGTTTTCAATAAATCTTATGTATTAGACTTGACATCTATAAATTATCTTGTTTGATTTAGTGAACACTATTACATTCCACCAAATGTAGAGAAAAAAAGATGGGCTTATGATTTAACTAATACATATGGTGAGACCTAATTCACAATGCAACTAATACTTAAGTTTAGACATAATGCTCTGATGAAAAACTCTCCAAAATAATGTTTAATGGAGCAAAAAATCCAATATCATTGAAACTGTAAAAAACTTTTCATATTCTCACTAAAACTTGCACATCAAGTATAGTGATGACCAGTAATCTGAACTTAGAGTTCACTAATAAGCTAAAAAAAAACTCAGTGCAGTGATTTACTTTACCAGCTCAAAATTAAGAATTATAACTTTTAATATGCAACTGACCTGACAATAGTTGAAAATCAGCCTAATATTATGCAAAATAAACATTAATAGGTTCTGGTAAAAACATTAGAAATTTCTTGAAGGGTCATAAGTGATTTAAGAAAAAAACTAAAGTGTTCAATGATTGGAAAACTATGGAAAGTCTTTCTTTAGAAGAGAAAAACAGTGGGTACACAGAATTAGAATAATGCAGCTTACACTTTTTTCTATGGTCAAAATCATATACTTTTTTTATTGTGGTTTAACATATAAATAATTTGTTTATCAAACTATGTAGTATAGTATACATTTCAATACAAAAATTATTCCTTCAAACAGGCTTTTCTCCACACAAATAAACATTTTTAGAGTTTACTGCAATAACCAACAAAATTATATAATGTTTTACTATTACAGCTCAAACCACATATATAGTTTGTTTGAAGTTAAGCACAAAGCTACACTATGGGCTATCTGTGCTCTGTGTTTTAAGTCTGCAGACATACCGCTGTGCCACTGGGGGGCCAATATATATAGCATTTTGTTTAGAAATATAACAACATGATTACTTTTATAAATTAATATATTCTGGTTTTGAATATGACATTAATGCTGTTATTTTTCCATATCATAAAGTCATCTTAGAAAACTATTTCACTTCAATTTGCATCCAGAAATATACATATCTCTTAATTCCAACATCTACTAGACAATAATACGCAATATCAAAACTATTTGTATAATAGTTAATAGTTCAATCAAAACTACTCGTATAATAGTTAATAGTTCAATCAAAACTACTCGTATAATAGTTAATATTTCAATCAAAACTACTCGTATAATAGTTAATATTTCAATCAAAACTACTCATATAATAGTTAATAGTTCAGTGTTTTAATGAAGGGCAGAATTCCCCAAAACAAATGTAACTTACTGACAAGTGATAAATTGAATGATATATTTTTAGTACCCATATAATAATGCACATTTGAACAAGGTTTCTTGACCAAGATTTCTGAAATATAACAGAAGTTGGTACATTAAACTCATCATAAGAAAAAAGTAAAATTTAAAGGATGTAAATGTTCTAATGCACACTTTTTAGGTCAGATACTCATGAGAAATAAACTACACAATAACTTTCAGGTAGTCTAGATAATCAGTTTACCAAAAGACATATAATTCGGTTTTGAAAGATGTTTCTTTTCTATTTTTGAAAACACGATACTGCTGTAAGTATAATTACTGAGACAAAAGACTAGGAGATAGAAAACAAGTATGTACATTATTTACTTCAGTAATGTTTTCGTGCTTTGCTCAGTGGTGCCAAACAGAAAATGTGAGCATTTTGTAAATATGCAAACAAGAAAATAAAAACCACTGGAAATACATCACTGCTATTTTAACTACTGTCCACAGCAAGTTTATTAGCATTTACACTTATTGTATTATGTTACTATAGATTAATTTCTATGACTACTATCTTATGAAACAAAAGAAAAAGAGTTACACACACATACCCTTGTAGGTGTTTCAGGTCGGATCTCTTCTTCACCCGCACTTCTACTCCTTCTCCGACTCACAGGTAAAGCTAGTCGGTGAGGATGTACGTATGGCATTTCTACTGGTAAGCGTGGATCAATGAATGTGGTACTCCTTGTTGTGTGATCAATAAAAAATTGCTAAAAAAATTAGAGTTAATTGAATATAAACTTTTGCTCAACTTTAGATCACTAGACTAACTCAAAACATTACCACCCAAGAAACATATTGTACATTAAAGCAAAAACTGTAACATGAAATTGTGATTTTTATCATAAATTGAAACCGTTTCAGACTTTACTACACAAACTAAATTATTCTATAGTGTTAATTAATCAAATTTACTCTGAAATTAATTGATGTTACAAAAAAGGCAAAATTAATAGAGAGGTGTAGTATAATACTAATTCTACCATAAAGAGCTACCATTGCCAAATGTTGGAGAAATGGAGCTGTTATTGAATAATCTAAAGTTATGTGTATGTCTTTACTGATTTTACTTATACATTGCAATTTCTAATTTATTTGAACTAATAGTTGTTAACATTATCTATCTTTCTTCATCTTATCATAAAATTCCAGAAACATGACTACCCAACCCCTCAAATCTGAAATTCTAAAACAGAATCCTGAAAAAAAACAACATTTTTTTGTAGCATTGGAAAATTTATGGGATATTACCTTGCCACTTCTGTCCCATTTGGACTCCCATCCACGAGGAAGATCCCTCTCAATGTCAGCAAACTTGTTAAACAAGCTAACTAATTCTCGATTATGTTGATACCTGTTAAAAATAAAATTTGTGGGTTATTTTTATATAACTAAAAACCCAAAATGTGCAAAAAATAAAGTCTAAACTTTAGTTGATGTATTTTAATCCATGAACAGATATACCTACACATAGTTAAATTTAAATTAAATAAATAAAAAATATGATGAGTAAACTTCATTAGTTTCATTAACCCTACGGGATTTTCATGGACCCCACTGGCTTTTTATACACCTGTTCATACACAACTGATACACCCAACGGGTTATGGGTCAATGCTTTTATTGGTTGCAGGGTACATATCATACAAGTCATAGAAAATATCTAAAAAATATAATTAATATTTCACTTAATCTCATTTATACTTATTGGGTTTTATATGTATTTTATATGGAAAACAAAGTGTTTTCAACAATTTTGTTTTGGGCTAGTTCTTTGCACTGAGTATTGTAAAAGGCAAAAAACATGCAATTACTCAATATGATGCAATATGTTGATCCCAATATTAATGAACGTATGATAAGTCATTTGAGGGTTACATAGTTTTTAAGTAACACATATCAGAATATATATACA